TAAGATTCCCACCTTTGAGAAAGAGATAAAGCTTCAAGACAAAGGACCTAGTGTGTGCTCTGCCTCTGGGAACCCCCACCATTCCATTTCCCCTCTTCTTCCCCCTTTTCCCCACAGACATGCATCTCCTAAACCCTAAGGGACCCCATGTGACTTGCAACCAGGCAGCAATGGGCAGCAGCAGCTTGTCCCCTGAATCTGTTCCCAAGGACCCTTTTCTCTGACTTCCCAGAGAGCTCGAGCAGCCCAGCCTCGGCTCTCCTGTTGCTTCCTCTATGCTAAGCCCTTTCTTGTTTCATAGCCCCAGCTTTAATAAGCACTCCCTCATAGTCATCTGGACTTGCGTTGTGAAATTTTCCTGCATGAAGACAAGAACCCACACGCTACCCACATATGGGCCAGGTCCCCTTTCAGGTAACAGGATGGCACTCCAACCAACTGAGCCACTAGGCCAGGCCAACCTTATTCTATTAAAAAAATATTAAAAATTATACTTTATGCTGGCTCACAGATGAATACGTTAATACTAGAGGCCCGGTGCACGAATTTCATGCACTGGGGAAGGGTGTCCCTTAGCCCAGCCTGCATCCTCTACAATTTGGGACCCCTCGGGGGATGTCTGACTGCCGGTTTAGGCCCGATCCCTAAACTGGCAGTCGGACATCCCTCTAATAATCCGAGACTGCTGGCTCCCAACCGCTCACCTGCCTGCCAGCCTGATCACCCCTAACCACTCCCCTGCCAGCCTGATCGATGCCCAATTGCTCCCCTGCCGGCCCAATAGCCCCTAACTGCCCTCCCCTGCAGGCCTGGTCACCCCTAACTGCCCTCCCCTGCAGGCCTGGTCACCCCCAACTGCCCTCCCCTGCCAGGCTGGTTGCCTACAACTGCCCTCCCTGCCGGCCATCTTGTGACCACATGGGGGCAGCCATCTTGTGCAAGGGCATGACAGTCAATTTGCATATTACCTCTTTATTATATAGGATTCTATATTAAAATATCTTCTTCAATCTAAAGTTCATTTTCTTCTTCTGATTTTAATTAAAATATTTTTGTGGGCCCCTAAAATATTGTGTCTACTGTGACTAATGGATAAGTCATGGTCCCGTATATGCTCCCCCTTCTTTTCCCAGGCATGGTCCTCCTGGCTGTAGAGGAGGCCAGAATTAAGGGGGGGGAAGGAAAGGAGGGAGGAGAGCTGTAAGGTCCTCACGTGGGTCATTTTGGGCTCAGAGAAGGGCACAAAAGTTCCCTGTCCCCTCCCTCTGAAAATGGAGACCTTCCTCACCTGGGTGAGTCAGGTGCTGACCAAAGGATTCAGTTATGGCTTCATGAAGTCCTTCCTGGCCCCTCCCTACCTGCCCCTCCATGCCACTGCTTAGAGATAAATCTGAGGGAGCCCAAGTTTGGCAACAGGAAGAGATGGCTCAAGTCTACACTCCTTACTATGACATATGAGACTCTCTTAGAGAGGTAATATAATATAGTGGATAAGAGTGCTTAGAAAGAGATGAACCTATCTGACCATGGATAAGGTCTTAAATCTCCCAAAGCCTCATTTTTTTCCAACTGTACATTGAATGACAGAATCTTTTCCTCACCAATTTTAATAAGCATTAACTATTGTATATGTACATGTATTTTCCACAATGAAACTCTATACACTTGTTAGGAAATAGGATTGTTATGTAAAACAAATACACACAGATCTCCTGCCTCTTCTCCATGGTTCAGGCACTCTGTCATAACTGAGATTATATATGTGGGCTCCAAAAATGGTACCTAGTATTGTGGTCTGGTTCCTATTTACTTCTCTAATCTCATCCCACCCCTCTCTGCCTTGAACTTCAGCAACACCAACCTGCTTATGGTCTCCTTCATTCCCCACTACACACTGAACTGTACATCTTCTCACCTCCTGACCTTGTTGCAGAAACTGGCTAGCTCTTCCTCCTGGGCATGTAGATAGGCTATCTTTCCCAGCCTCACCTAGCCAATGGAGTGGACTGCTATATGCTGCTTCCAGGCCTGTTCCAGCGAACCTCCCACATCCTCTTCATGCTCTTTCCCCTTCTAACCTTGGAAGCCCAGTGTTTTGTTTGTTTGTTTATTATCAATCCCCACCAGGGGATATTTTTCTCATTGATTTTTAGGTAGAGTGAAAGGGAGAGGGAGAGACAAAGAGAACCATCAATGTGAGAGAGACATATTGATTGGCTGCCTCCCACATGTGCCCCAACTAGGGCTAGGGATCGAGCCTGCACGAACCCAGGACCTTTCAGTCGTTGGGCTGACACTCTAATGACCAAGGGAAACCGGCTAGGGCTTTATTTATTTATTTTTGTTGTTGTTTTTGTTAATCCTCACCCGATGATATTTTCCCCCATTGATTTTCAGAGAGAGCGGAAGGGTGGAAGGGAGGGAGAGAGAGAAAGAAGCATCGATGTGAGACTGACGCATCAATCGGTTGCTTCCTGCACCCACTCTGATAGGGGCTGGGGCTGGAGCTGGAACCAGAAATCCAACCTGTGACTCTTGGGTGCGTGGCAGATGCTCTAACCACTGAAACAAAACAAACAAACAACAAAAAAACAACAACCAGGGCGGAAACCCTATGTTTTAGATAGTAGAGCCATTAATGGAAGGAACCTGGGTCCCTAAATTAAAATGTGAAGCAAAGATCCCAGCTGGGTGGCTCAGTTGGTTGGAGCATCGTTCCATATACCAAAAAAGTTGAGGGTTCGATTCCCAGTCAGGGCACATACCTAGGTTTCAGATTTGATCCCCGGGAGCAACCAATTGATGTCTCTCTCTCTCCCTCTCCCTTTCTCTCTAAAATCAATTTTTTAAAAAACCATAAAAAAAAAAGACAATTCAAGCCCTGGATGGGTAGCTCAGTTGGTTAGAGCATCATCCCGATGCACCAAGGCTGCAGGTTCCATCCCCAGTAAAGGTACATACAGGAGGCATCCAATGAATGCATAAATGGGTGGAACAACAAATCAATGTTTCTCTCTCTCCCTCCCTCCCTTTCTTCTTCTCTTTCTCTAAAATTAATACATTAAAAAAAAAAAAAGACTATTCAACCTAACTCCCCCAGAAGGAGGGGCAGGGAAGGAGGATAAAACTCAGGGAGTATTAGAAAGAAAGTAGGGTTGCCAGATTTAACAAATAAAAATATCAAATGCCTATGTGATTTTCAATTTCAAATAAGTAATAAATAATTTTTTAGTTTAAGTATGTCCTGTGCTTAGTTTTGGACATATGTATATGTATATATTAGTGTTTGTAAAATTATAATATATATTATTCTAAGAATGTAAATTTTATCTGAAGTTTAAATTAACTTGGTGTCCTGTATTTTTCTCTGGCAACCCTAAAAGAAAGGCCTAGAACTCTAAGACAAGCCAATGAACTAAGGAGGAACTATTGCAGGATCTCTGCACTACCGTTTCCTTTATATATTTAAACATTTTAAATCCTGTTTTTTAAAACTATCTAGCTTGATTTTTTGAGGGAACACTTACATAACATAAAATTTACCATTTTAACCATTTTTAAGTGGCATTAAGTGCACTCACATTGTTTTGCAACCATCACCACCAATCTCCAGAACTTTTTCATCATCCCAAGATGGCATGTCAAAGAAAATCAGAGCTAACAAAACAAAACAAAAAAAGGAAAAAAAGAAAAAGAAAACCAGAGCTGTACAGCAGTTAAAGAGGTGAAAACGGATTTTTGTCAGGACTTTGCAACATTGGAAAAGAGACCTCGGTATAGAACCGGAGTCGATTCTGAATATAACGTGAATAAATGGGGATTTATAGCCAAGAGCCGGGGCAGTGGTTCTGGATGGGAAATACTAAGAACATGAAGTAATTTTTTGCAGAAGTGACCTGACGGGATTCTCGCTGAAGGCAGGCCAGGGCGACCAGGTATCACCCGGGGGATTTGGTCAGCTATGCTGGATGCGGAGGGTGGGGGATTCCCGCTAAAACTCGGAGATGCAAGTAGAGGCCTCTCTCTGGAAGCGGGGGCACAGGAGCCCGACTCAGATCGGTCCAACAACACCTCCCACCCCACACAGCTTCCCCCCGGCCACCACCACTCTCCTCCGCCTCCACGAACCTGACTACTCCCGCTACCGCGTCTATAAGTGGAGTCATACAGCGTTTTTCCTTTTGTGTCTGACATTATCTTATTTTTAAAGGGGGATGGAAACGAAGCGAATCCTATGGGGAGAACGGCCCACAGAATTGAAGACAAGAAAATAAAAGACGTTTCAAATCAGTGAGTCTGTGGGGCCGAGGGGAGGGGCTGGGGGTCGGGCACGGGAAGCGCGCGGCGGAGCGCGGGGGGGCCGGCAGGCCCGGCCCCCGACGGAAGGAGGCCAGGTAAGGGTCGGGGCAGGTCCAAGGCCGTCCGCCGCCGGCGAATGCGGGTTTCCTGCCGGTGTGCGCAGTTAGCTTATGGAAACATATTCTCTGATCTTAGGATCCCATGTAGCTGTTGATCGACACTGCGTCGCATGGTCCTAAGTGGATTTT